CCTCCTCAAGAACATCCGCGAGGAGGGCGAAGGCCCCTCCCCGGAGCCCTGCCTGCTTCTCGAGGCCCACCAGCAGCGACTCACGCCAAGCTCGGGGAAAGGCCTTCTAAAGGTCCCCAAAGGCGAGCCAGAGGGGCCGTCTTTGTTAGGATCGTTTAACCGATCCCCATCTCCAGTGGCGTGGCCTGGGCCCCACTGGCCGATTTACCCCCCTAGATGGGGATTTAGGCCGTACCCTTCGGGTTTCGAGGGGTGTATCCCCAACTGGAGGGGTAATTTGGTGGGGGTCTCGATGGGGATGGGATGGGGATGGGGATTGGTTACACGATACCGACTTTGGAAAGCTCCTTCCGCTGCCGAGTCGTGTGGTAAACGGGTGGGCATAGCCCAACATCACGGATGACGCCGCTCTGGCCTGGCCGCACAGAAAAAAACAGATCCTCGGGCGCACCCTCTGCAGCAGCAACATCTCCCGTAGCAGGCCCAGCTGCGCCCGGACCACGATGAGCCTCAAAGACTCATCATGATCCAAAGGGCCGTCCTTGTGTCGGGGATGGACAGACCCCCCTTTAGCAAAACGTGGTTTAGTGAAAACGACCTGAGGCCCAAACCTGGCGGGCGCAAGCCTGGAAAATAACAGCCGCGACGCCCTCTCGAGAACCGAAAACGGACAATTCACTAATCGACGTGTCACTGTTAGGGGTTCTGTCCACCCCCGATTGTGGAGCGGCACGGCACAGCTCCCGCGCCACGCCGCTGTGGTCTGCCTGCCAGACCCCCTGGACCCGCAGGGCGAAGGACTAACCGGACGACTCGATCCCGGCAGGGAAGACAACGCCGAAGCACCACCCCGCGGAAGAAGCTCCGGCGTCTTGGCACCTGCCCGACCCCGCGGGAGGACCGCAGCCCGCACTGCCCCCTGTGAGACTGGCGCGTCGTGCTCTCTCCCCCACCTCTCGCTGCCCGGGACCGGCGCAACCACTCCGGCAGGCGCTCGGCAACGGCCTCGCGCACCACCGGACCCCACGGGCCTGGCCACTCCCCTCGTGTCCGGAGTTGAATACGCCGGGCGCCCCTCGAGGCCTCGGGGGAGAGCAGAAGCCCATCTGCGCCCCGCAGCACCGGAGAGGGCCTTGCTTCCGGCGGCTCGAGAGCCCGCATGCGGATGGCCAGGCGCTCCTGTGCTGAACCTCCCCTGGGCAGGGCTGCTCTGATCTGGCCATGCATCGAGGCAAGCCGGCGCTCGCGCTCCCTCGCGCCAGCTGGGACTCGTGGAACTACCCACCCTGCCATGACGACGCCAGGGATGAAGGCCAAGCGCCACGCCACCGCATCCGCAGTCCAGCGCGCCGCTGCTTTCGGCGCGGCTCGCGCCCGCTCCACCCCCGCGGTGCATCCACGCAACGAGGCGAGAAATCATCCCAGCATGTCTGAGGCAGGCGGAGCACAACCGAGGCCCTCTGTCCAAGAGGCTTTTGTCGAGCCACCCGCGGCATGCGCAGCATGCCAAGTCCCGCTCCTATTTCCTGGCTTCCCTGCGGGAGATCCGTCTCCACGAGGAAGTGATCGCCCATGGTATAATCCACGCGTTCCGCCCAGCTGCAAGGCTCCGAAGCGCAGCAGGAAATGCCATTGTGGACTGTGGCCCTTCCTGAGGCCGCCTCCGATGCAACGATTATGTCCAGGCAGCGTGATTGCCCTGCTCCGTGATGGGTGTCCCCTGGGCGGAGTTGGACAGTGCGCCCACGAAGTGGGAGTAAGACTGAGACCTCGGCCTCATTGCCCACGTGCGGGTTCATATGGTTCAGGCCCCAATCGAGGACGAATCTGCTCCACGCACGTGAGCGATTGGGGGTTGGGTCCCTCCCCCCATTGACCTCCTCTGGCCGGACATTGATGTCCCCCATGACGACGACGGGAGAATCTGGAGGGACCGGGCGGGCTCCAACAACGTCCGCCAGATCCGCCCCGAGTCCTGAGAGCTCTCGGAACCAGATTTCATCTGGGCCCATCTTAGGGAGAGGTCGAGGAGGAGGAGGAGGACGACGACGAGGAGAACGAGGAGGAGGAGGAGGAAGAGGAAGCTGAGGACAAAACGCGCCGTGCGCCGTGCGCCACCTGTCACCGACGGGCCGCTCTGCACCACCGTCCGCTACACCCGCCAGCGGCTGGCCGCTCATCTCTCTCTGTCTCTCTCTCTCTCTCTCTCTCTATGTCTTCTGGCTCCCTCCTTGCTGAATGCTAGAAAAAGAAAACACGCCATGAACGTGAACTTTTGGCGCTCCGCACGGATCTCTTGGATCCGCGTGTGGCCCCCTCCCTGGCGCGCTCCGGGGCGGCGCCGGAGGCGCCGCCAGGGGGGGCCAGGCGCCGATCCAAGAAGTCCGCGCGGGCCGTGGAAAGTTTATGCTTATGCCGTTTTGTCTTCTTCCTGTTCTGGCAGAGCGAGAAGTCGTGCCAGCACTTCTGCTCATAAGATACACGACGCTTGTCGCGGCACGGCCGCAGTAGCAGTCCGCAAAATCATCGTGTTCGATACCCTAATTATGTCGAAGAGTTGCTACGCTACTGCAGGCTGGAGTGGGAACCATGAGATGCTGATGTTTTGTCTAGACGTGAGAAGCTGTCCTTCTAGCGTGCATGGACATTATGCGAGATCACCGTCATTGGATATTCACCTCGCACGGTGCCGTACAAACGCTCTCGACGGCTGACGCAGGCAAATATCGTCTCAACTTGCCACCGAGTCAGAGTGATCACTCTGCTATGGCCTTACTTGAGCGATCCTTGCGCCTTGATCTGACAGAGTGCAAAGACGAAACAATATGATAGATCAGCTTGGAATTTGCGTCGGTTTTACCAGCTCCTCTGAGCTGACGCAGCCGTCTCTTCATAAAATTACAGCAGGCTGGTCGTCATCTGCACATGTTCCATTTCATATGGGCAAACATGGTCCCTGCGCACTGTGGGAAACCTCACTCAATTGAATATGACGGCGATTAAAAAATTCTGGCGGCTGCTCAATTTCATTGTCCCCGCGTTGCCTCTTCAAGGTATTCCCCGCGTTGGACGCAAGCTGCTCGGAGCCATGGCACCTGCTTGAATAGCTAGGCGCTTTGCTGCATGTCACCGCTCCTGCTGCAGAACAAACCCAAGGCTAAGTCGGGCGTGTCCCTCTACAGGAGGAGTATTCAAAAATCGTCAAAAAAATAATATGGAAACGACTCTTTGACTATGTTTGAGCATTTGGGAATATGTTTTGAGTATCTTTAGTTTTTCGCCCAAAATCCCCCTGTAGGGGGACAGGCCCGACCTAAACCCAAGGCGAGGAGGGGGAGTTATCACGCGCGCCATGGCGCTTCGGAGATATGAAGCTGAGCAGGCCGGTAGAGATGCAGGCTGCTCCGCTACCGAGTCGCGACCTTGCCGAAGAACAGCAGCAGTTGCAGGCTTCTCTCGTAGAGAGTGCTCGAGGGCAATCCCGCCCACGAGCATCATGTTGCAACGGACAAGCTTGCTGGTGGAGAAAGTACTAATATGGGGCGAAAGGCTAGAAGAGGAAGAAACAAAGAAAGCGGACAACGAAAGGCATTGTGAGTGGAGACGGAGAATGGTTGGCAGAATGTGTGACCGGAATGGAGGAGAAGCAGAGGAGGGCAAGCAGCATCAGCAGGAGCAGCAGAAGCAGGAGGAGAAGGAGGACGACGACGATGATGAGGACGATGACGAGGTGCAAGCTCTTGTTTCCTTCCGATGCTAGGATGAGACGCGGGTGCAAAGTCCTCGCCCTTAGCATCTCGCCCCCTCCACAGGGAGCCGCTGAAAATCTGAGGTCGTCCGCAGAGTGGCGGACAAACTCATGCTGAGCAGTGCACCGCAGCAGCCAGATTCGTCCTCCCCCCCTCATGCTCCACACGGGTCAGGCTCATGCCACCTCAGTGCTCATCAAGATCGATCGCTAAACACTCCTCCCCATCCACGCATCCCCACTGCCCCGTCCTGCTCCTCCTCCTCCTCCTCCTCCTCCTTCTTCTGCTGCTCCTGCTCCTCCTCATCATCCTCGTCCTCCGCCTCCTCCTCCTCCTCCTCCTCCTCCTCCTCCTCCTCCTCCTCCTCCTCTTCCTCCTCCTCCTCCTCCTCCTCCTCCCCTCGCCTTCGCCAGTGTCCGCGACAGCTCCCTCACCTCCTCCTCCTCCTCCTCATCGTCAGCTCCACCTCCCCCTGCTGCTCTTTCTGCTGGCCGTGCGCCGCGTCAGTAAGCAGGAGGTCGCTCAGCGGGTCGCACGGCAGCGAGGAGAACGAACGCTGCTCTTCGCGGCTCTGCCGCGAGCCCCTCCCTCCAAGTCCTCCTCCGCCTCCTCCCCTCCGCCTCCTCCTCCGCCTCCGCCTGCCCCTCCCCCCCCTGCCTGGCCCTCTCCTCCTCCTCCTCCTCTCCTCCTCCTCCTCCTCCTCCTCCTCCTCCTCCTCCTCCTCTCCTCCTCCTCCCCTCCTCCTCTCCTCACTCCTCCTCCTCTTCATTCCCCTCCTCTCCTCCTCCTCCTCCTCCTCCTCCTCCTCCTTCCTCCTCCTCTACTCCTCCTCCTCCTCCTCCTCCTCCTCCTCCTCCTCCTCCTCCTCCCCCTCGTCCTCCGCCTACTCCTCCTCCACGACGTATCCGCCACGGCGGGCCGCAAGGCTCGTTCCTCATCTTCTGCTCCACCTCCTCGTGCCTACTTCCTCGGGCATCTCTTCTTCTCCCTCCACCCTACCCCGTCCACCCTGCCGACCCACCCCCCATGCCCCGGACTCATCCTTGTCATCCTCTTCCCTTTGTCCTCCTATCTTCCCCCTTCCTCCCGCCTTCTCCCTCATCCCCAGACCGGGGGCAGGCAGGGCGAGCTCGGGTGGACTCGGCGGAGTGGTCGAGGTACAGAGTTCGAGTGACACCTTCGCGCGAGACGGTCCGCTCGGGTCAGTTGGAGGACCGTCGCGCACACGCGCGGACCCAGCACTGCAGCTGCTCAGGACACGTCGTCCAGCGCTTTCTGGAGCATGGCCAGCATCTCCTCGTCGGCTCCGGCCTCCGTGGCAATGTCCAGCGGGGTCTTGCCCTCGTTGTTCTCCACTTTCATGCACTGGTCGCCACCGTTCTCCACGATGAGCCAGGCCACGTCCTGAGCTTTGCTCGCCGCCGCCTCGTGCAGCGCGGTGTTCCCCTTGTCGTTCACCGCGTCGCGGTCGGCGCCACCCCAAAGAAGCATGGAAAGGAGAAGAAAAAACGCCATAAACATAAACTGTTGGCGCTCCGCGCGGATTCCTTGAATCTGCGCCAAACCCCCCTCCCTGGCGCGCGGAGCGCGCCAGCGCGCCAGGGGCGGCGACGGAGGCGCCGCCGGGGGGGCCCAGCGCGGATCCAAGAAGTCCGCGCGGAGCGCCAAAACTGTATGTTTATGGCGGTGTTTCTTCTTCCAATGGAGGCAACCAGGCGCTTATCATGCCTGCCGGCCAGCATCAGCGGAGTGTTACCTTCTCTGTCCACAACGTTGACGTCGGCGCTGCACTCTACGAGCAGGCTGCCCCCAGCCGCCTCCCCCGCCATCGCGGCATGGTGCAGCGCCGCAAGGCCGGCTCCATCCTTGGCGTCTATGTCGAAATCATCTTCGTCCATGAACGCGTTCATGCTAGAGATGTCGCCATCCGCGACAGCCTTGCAAAACTCGTCCATCCTTTCCCCTCCTTAAACAGTTGTGCCCAAACAGCGTGGCTTCAACGCTTGAGGCAAAACGTTCACAGGACAGGCTGCACAGGGGGATGGGGACGCTCAGGTACAAACGCGAGTGCACGCCTTCAAGCATGGACGACGACGACGACGACGACGACGACAACGACGACGACGACGACGACGACGACGACGACGACGGCACGAAGTGACAGAGAAAAGTCGGGTGAAGGGTATCGCTGGTCCTGAAACAGTGCTTGCACTTAGGGGCTCTTACTTGGCCTAACCATCTCGGGGTGAGTGGCGGATTTTGCGGGCGGTGCCGCCCGTCGCCGCCGTCGCCGCCGTCGGCGTCGCCGCCGCTCGGAGCGAGTGGCGGCTTTTGCGGGCGGTGCCGCCTTTCGCCGCCGTCGCCGTCGCATAGATTGCACCACGTAAATTCTCCTTTCTAAAAACAGAATACACTCTACCCCCCCCCCGTTATCCGCCCCCTTTTCGGGTATGAAAATCATACAAGAGTATGACCACATGTCCATCCTAAATATGAACTTACATTATCCCAGAAGGGGCCGGTGTCGGACCCCTGAGGTTCCCCTGTGAAAAACGATACGCGGGGACATCTTTTGTTCTAACATAACATTTGTTCACGAATCCCTTACAAAAATGGGACGAAGTGCACACGCGCGCGTTGTCGCGCGTGCATGCCGAAATCTTCCAAAAACCTTCGGTGCCGGAAGGATTTCGCAATCGAGTTTCAAAAAAAACATACAAAAACACAGGGTTCCGCAACACTGATTTGCTAAACAAGCTTACGCGCGAGCTCTTACGAAATCTCGAGAAAAAAACCATAGGTTTTTCCAGATTTCCACAAAATGCTACCAAACGGGCTTCGCGCGCGCGCATGTCGAAATCAGTCGAACGCCCTTGCGCGCGTGCCGTCGCAAGAATCGTTTGCAAAAAAAAGGACGAAGTGCAGACGCGCTCGTCGTCGCGCGCGTATGCCGAAATCCTTCAAAACCTATCGGTTTCGGAAGGATTGTAGCATCGTGTGTCCAAAAAACCAGAAAAAATTTAAAAAACAAAAAAAAAAGGTTTCGCAACACCGATTTTCAACAAAACCGTGCGCGCGCGCTCTTGCGTCGTCGTCGTCGTCGTCGTCGTCGCCGTCCTCCCTCCTCCCGCGTCGTCGTCGTCCTCGCCTACGTCGTCCTCGGTCTTTCCTCGTGTTCGTCGTCGCTGTCCCCTTTGGCGTCGTGGTCGTTTCCGTCGTCGTTGTCGCCGTCATCGTCCTTCCTCCTCCTCCCTCGTCGTCGTCATCGTCCGTCGTCGGCGTCTCGTCGTCGTCCCTCCTATTTCGTCGCCGTCGCCGTCGTCGTCGTCGTTGTCATCGTCATCGTCTTCCCTCCTCACTCGTCGTTGTCGTCTTCGGCGTCGCCGTCCTTCCTCCTTTTTCGTCGTTCGCGTCGTCGCCGTCCTCCCTCTTCCCTCGTCGTCGTCATCGTCGTCGTCGTTGTCACCGTCGTCGTGTTTCCTCCTCTGTCGTCGTCGTTTTCGTTGGCGACGTCGTCGTCGTCTTCGTCGGCGTCGGCGTCGTCGTCGTCTTCGTCGTCGTCGACGTCGGCGTCGTCGTCGTCGCCGCCGTCGGCGTCGGCGTCGTCGGCGTCGTTGACGTCGTCGTCGTCGTCGGTGTCGTCGTTGTCGTCGTCGTCGGCGTCGTCATCGTCGTCGTCGTTGTCATCGTCGTCGTCGTCGGCGTCGGCGTTATCGTCGTCGTCGTCGGTGTCGTCGTCATCGTCGTCGTCGTTGTCGCCGTCGTCGAAGTCGTTGTGGTCGTCGTCGGTGTCGTCGTAGTCGTTGTCGGCGGCGTCGTCGTCGTCGTTGTCGCTGTCGTCGTCGGCGTGGCTGTCGTTGCCAAGTGCATTTTGGTACCCACCGACACGGTCTTAAGAGATGTTGCAAACCAAGTTGCGGGTGGGTGGGTGGGATGTTTGCGCGAGCAGTGGAGTGGACAACCCACTGCGAACAGGAATTAATTCTCCTTTCTAAAAAGAAAATAGACTCTACCCCCCCCCCGGCGTTCGCCACCCCTTTTCGGATATGTAAATGATATATGATTATGACCACATGTCCATCCGAAACATGAATTTACACTATCCCCGGGGAACCAGTATCGGCCCTCCTGAGGTTTCCTGGTAAAAAACGATACGTGGGGACTTGCTCGAACATAAGACTTGTTCACGAACCCCTGGGAAAAAGAAACAAAAAAAAGGACGAAGTGCACAGTCGCGCGTCGTCGCGCGCGCATGCAGAAATCCTCTAAAAACCTGCGGTGCTGGAAGGATTTCGCCATAGAGTTGCTTACGCGCGAGCTCTTGCGAAATCTTAAGAAAACCATCGGTTTCTCAAGAATTGCACAAAATGCTACCAAACGGCCTTCGCGCGCTCGCACGTCGAAATCTGTCGAACGCCCTTGCGCGTGTGCTGTCGCGAGAACCCTCTGCAAAAAACGGGACGAAGTGCAGACGCACGCGTCGTCGCGCGCGTATGCCGAAATCCTATACCCATTGGTTTCGGAAGGATTTCAAAATCGTGTGTCCAAAAAACCTACAAAAACACAAGGTTTCGCAACACGGATGTTCAACAAAAGCGTACGCGCGCGGTCTTGCGTCGTCGTCGTCGTCGTCGTCGCCGTCCTCCCTCCTCCCGCGTCGTCGTCGTCCTCGCCTACGTCGTCCTCGGTCTTCCCTCGTGTTCGTCGTCGTCGTCCTTTTTGGCGTCGTGGTCGTTTCCGTCGTCGTTGTCGCCGTGGTCGTCCTTCCTCCTCCTCCCTCGTCGTCGTCGTCCGTCGTCGGCGTCTCGTCGTTGTCCCACCTATTTCGTCGCCGTCGTCGTCGTCGTCGTTGTCGTCGTCGTCTTCCCTCCTCCCTCGTCGTTGTCGTCGTCGGCGTCGCCGCCCTTCCTCCTTCGTCGTTCGCGTCGTCGCCGTCCTCCCTCCTCCCTCGTCGTTGTCGTCGTTGTCGTCGTTGTCGCCGTCGTCGTCCTCCCTCCTCTCTCGTCGTCGTCTTCGTTGGCGGCGTCGTCGTCTTCGTCATCGTCGTCGTCGGCGTCGGCGTCGTCTTCATCGTCGTCGGCGTCGGCGTCGTCGTCGCCGCCGTCGTCGTCGTCGTCGTCGGCGTCGTTGACGTCGTCGTCGTCGTCGGTGTCGTCGTTGTCGTCGTCGTCGGCGTCGTCATCGTCGTCGTCGTTGTCATCGTCATCGTCGTCGGCGTTGGCGTCGTCGTCGTCGTCGGTGTCGTCGTCGTCGTCGTCGGTGTTGTCGTCGTTGTCGGCGTCGAAGTCGTTGGAGGCGTCGTCGGTGTCGTCGCCCAGCTGGGATGTGCCCAGCAGTCAGCGCCACCGCGGCCGCGTCGGTCGCGCCAAACTAGCTGGCCGCTGCGCGCGCGTGCTCGGGTTGGCGCGGCCGCAAAGATGGGCCAGCTAACTCCAAAGACTCATTGCAATCGTCACCACATGGGTTTTGCAAGCCAAGTTGCGGGTGGGTGGGCAGGATGTTTGCAAGAGCGTGGGATGTGTCAACTCGTTTGTTAAAACCAATTCTCCTTTCTAAGAGATTAATAGATTCTCCCCCCCTCCCCCCCCGGACTTATCGGTTCCCCCTGGGATAGTACGATTTCATCTATATTCTGCACACTCGTCCATCCCAAATATGAAATCATACCATCCCAACCAAACCGGGTTCCCCCCCCTGCGGTTCCCTTGTGCAAAACACTATGCAGTGAGATGTTTTGCTCTAACATATAACTTTTTTCCGCGAATCCCTTGCAACAAATGGGACGAAGTGCACACGCGCGCGTCGTCGCGCGCGCATGCCGAAATCCTTCAAAAACCTTCGTTCCGGAGAGATTTCAAAATTGAATTTCCAAAAAACATACAAACACAGGGTTTCGCAACACTGATTTGCTAAAAAAGCTTACGCGCGATCTCTTGCGAAATCTTAAGAAAACCATAGGTTTTTCAAGATTTTCACAACGTGCTACCAAACGGGCTTCGCGCGCGCATGTCGAAATCTGTCGAACGCCCTTGCGCGTGTGCCGTCGCGAGAATCCTCAACAAGAAACGGGACGAAGTGCAGACGTGCGCGTCGTCGCGCGCGTACGCCGAAATCCTTCAAAGCCCATCGGTGTTGTAAGGATTTCAAAAAACATGTGTCCAAAAACCTACAAAAACAAAAGATTCCGCAACACGGGTTTTCAACAAAAGCGTGCGCGCGCGCTCTTGCGTCGTCGTCGTCGTCGTCGTCCTCCCTCCTCCCTCGTCGTCATCGTCGTCGTCGCCGTCGTCGTCTTCTGTCTTTCCTCGTCGTCGTCGTCGTCGTCTTGGCGTCGTCGTCGCTTCCGTCGTCGTTGTCGCCATCGTCGTCCTTCCTCCCTCGTCGTCTTCGTCGGCGTCTCGTCGTTGTCCCTTCTATTTCGTCGTCGCCGTCGTCGTCGTCGTCGTCGTGGTCTCCACTCCTCCCACGTCAATATCCTCCTCCCTCGTCGTCGTCGTCGTCCGTCGTCGGCGTCTCGTCGTCGTCCCTCCTATCTCGTCGCCGTCGTCGTCGTCTTCGTCGTCGTTGTCGTCGTCGCCTTCCCTCCTCCCTCGTCGTTGTCGTCGTCGGCGTCGCCGTCCTTCCTCCTTCTTCGTCGTTCGCGTCGTCGCCGTCTTCCCTCATCATCGTTGTCGTCGTTGTCGCCGTCGTCGTTTTTTCTTCTCCCTCGTCGTCGTCTCCGTTGGCGACGTCGTCGTCGTCTTCGTCGTCGTCGTCGGCGTCGGCGTCGTGGTCTTCGTCGACGTCGACGTCGGCGGTGTCGTCGTAGTCGGTGTCTGCGGCGCCGTCGTCGTCGTTGTCGCTGTCGTCGTCGGCGTCGGTACCGTGGCCAAGTGCCATGTGGTATCTACCGACACCGTCTTGTCTTAAGAAGTCTTGCGACCAAGTTGCGGGCGGGAGGGTGGGATGTTTGCAC